GTTTCAGCCGGAATTTTTCCAACAGATCCCTATCCGGCCGGAATTCAAAATATATTGTTTTTCCTGCATATTTATTACTGTTCGAATATAATTTGCGAACATTAAGTTAAAAAATACTGAATAAAATCTAAGCAGTTTTTTATGAAAAAGAAGAATAACCAAAAAAAAAAAATTTTTGCCTAAACCCATATCCTCAGTATACATCCTAAAGTATGTAGTGAAGCATTTAGAGCTCCCTATTTCAGTATGATGCCATCAGCAATGTTTTATGCTGAGTTAAGTATGCAAAGATATTTGTATATAAATCAGGGTTGGGGTCAAATACATTTGATCAAATACAAATACGTTAATTCAAGATTTCCAAATACAAATTCAAAAACAAATATATGCAATTGGCATTTTCTAAATACAAATACAAATATTTGTACTTTAGGTTAGAAAAAATATATAAATTTTTTCAAAACATGAATGATAAAATGATCTATTAAATGAAAAAATGAAAACAAGTTTTCTATCCCTTAAAAACAAATTTTTAATTTATTTTAGTATTAAAAATGAAGAAGAAAAAGAAAGAACCTCTTGGTATTTTTCAAAAAAAACCCAGCTAACCTAGTTTAGGTAATTGCAAATATATTTCAATCAAAAACAAATACAAACATTTAAGAAACTTTTTAATCAAATAAAATACAAACACATTTTTTAACCAAATACAAATACGTCAAATTAACTGATTTTTACCAAATACAAATACAAATCCATTTATGTACTATGGTACATAAATACGTACATACATACATACATACATACATTTGGCCGGAATTATAATATTTCAGGCTGGAATGCCAGAAATTATTTTTTACTTTATTTATTTAAGACATGTGACACAGACTGTGTAAATTAAATCAAAAAAATTGTTCTACAGGGCAATGAAGAACTATGGGTAAACCTAGGTAAAAAATTCAAAATTCTTAACAAAGACAATGTTTTAGGTAAAGCTACAGTTTAGCGATCTAAAATAAATTAATTTTTTCGCTTGTTGTGCTCTTGTTAATGGAGAGTTTTCAAACAATAGAAATTTTAATTGAAATAATAAAAAAAAAAAGATTGCTCCCCTATGCCAAATCCTCATTCAATGTAGCAACACTTCTTTGTAGAAGCAGTCTATAAGATAGTCGATGTAACAACACTTCCTTGTAGCAGCAAGGCTATAAGATAATGAATGTAGTAGCACTCCATTGTGGCAGCACTCCCTTGTAGCAGCAGGCTATAAGATGTTTGTACTTAAGTCAATAACTATTCTTTATGTTTATATTAATGTCACCACTTTGAAAAAAAAGTCTCCACACAAAAGCGCGAAAAGTGACAAAATTAAATTATTTTAGACCATCTAACTGTAACTTTGCCTAATTTTATTTGCAGTAATCACTTAAGTAAAGATTTTTAAAAGTTTAGGAATGTTGTGGTGCAAAAAGAGTTGTTATCAAATTTTGAGCAAAAAACAAGCTCTTTTTTCATCGAAGATGTTACCTGCCTCTGACAATAATCTCATTTTTAATGTTTCTTAACTTTTAAATAGTTAAAAATTATAGGATGCTTAATACAGTAAATATTTGATATATATGTGTATATATATATATATATATATATATATGTGTATATATATATATATATATATATATATATATATATATATATATATATATATATATATATATATATATATATATATATATATATATATATATATATATTATAGGTTATAAATATAGATTATGTAGCTACAATGCTGAGGTACAGGGTTTCACTTAAAATCTTGAAGATAAAAAACTACACAAATATAAATCTAGTTCCAGCCGGAATTTTTTTAACAGATCCGGTTCGGCCAGAATTCAAAATTTCCATTACGGTACACCCCTAATACATACAAATATACATACACACATATATATTTTACTCATTTTTTATTAATATTATTTATAAAGAAACAAAACAAAAAAAAAACCTGGGTAGCGAAGGGTGGTGGTACTTGTAGCCATAATTGTTGAAACCTGAAAATAAAAAACATTTTAAAAAACTCAAATGAGAAAAATTTAATTATTATAAAACTGCTATTCACTAAATTTTAGTTTACCTTTTTGTATAACTAGGTTGAACAATTTTTCATTTAATTAAAATCTTTTAGATATAGAAACCCCAAAATCATTACAGAAGTGAGATTGAAGTCTTGGAAAGAAAGAGAATAAAAACTAAAAAGAAAGAAACAAAGCAAAAGCACATTAAAGAATAGTTTTAGAGGATTCAAACCTGATTTTATCACACTCAGGTGAATTGTTATTTAAGTTAATGTCCAGGCAAACATATGACTATTGGAGTCTTTGTAAATCAAAGGGTAATAGATGTTTACATTAAAATTTGAGAATAAAACAGCTGAGTTTAAATTAATCTCACAAAGAGCAAATAGGTCTGGCGAAGGTTGAAAAAAGATAAGATTCAACAGATGAATGATTACTTGAAGGACCACAAATACCTGTGGTCTTAAAATATGTATAAATATTTGTGGTCCTCAAATATATATAATATTTGTGGGCCTCAAATATTTATAAACATTTGTGGTCCTCAAATGTATATAAATATATGTGGTCCTCATATATATATAAATATGTGTGGTCCTCAAATATATATAAACTTTTGTGGTCCTCAAATATATATAAACATTTGTGGTGTAAATATGTAAGTATAGGATAATTTTAGCAAGAATTTGCTAACATAAATTTATCATTAAAGACACTTAACATCATTAAGAAAAAAAATTACAAATAAATGTTTTATAAAATAACTATATCAAAGTTGTTTTTTATTAGAAGAAAAAAATCTGAATTAGTAAAAATACTTAATTTTATATAACACAAAAATATAAAAATTCCAAATTTCTAAAATTAAAATCAAATATTTAATAATAAGATATAACAATCCAACCATATGGTAACACTCCAACCGTAAGTAATAAATAAATTGTTATCAGTAGTTTACTTACTAACTGATTGACTTGTGAAAATGTTGGGTTAGGGATATGCAAACGATCAGCTGCTATACGATTTAATGCAGTATTATCCAAAACAACAACACAGTCAGCATTTTGTGTCAACCTTTTTAAAGTTAACATGGAGTTGTAAGGCTGAACAACAACGTCGCTGACATCTTCCTATTAGAAAACTCATTTTCTTTCAAAATGAAATATTTTAAACATATATATAAAATAGATAACTATAAATAAAATTATATTTAAATACAATAGTAAATAACATGCATTATATAAAAATTATATCTATATTCTTAAAAAAACTCATTAATATTCAATAACTGATGATTTATTATTATCCAAAAAGTCTACAGTACAGATAATTTATTAAAACTATTTACATTACAGACAACATTATATACACAACATTATATATATTAAAGATAACATATACATAACAGATGATTTATTAACATACAAAAAGTCTACAGTAAATCAATCAAGTCTACAGTAAAATAAGCTTACTAAAAGCACTGACAAATAACTTAGAGAAATATATGGGTAAAACAATTGTGAACATTTAAATATTTAGTGTCAACTTTTAATTATAAATAAAGTACACAATTATTTCTAAATAAAAAAGCACCACTAGTTACCTGTTGGGGAAAAACTGAATACGTTTGAATCAATTTTTTTGGATACCTAAACATTTAAGACTTAATAAAAACAAACTGAAATTGTAACAAGCTTAAAATATAAAAAGCATATTCTAAGCACAAACAAAAATAAATGAATAAAAATAAAATAGTTTATAATAAATAATAAAATGCATAATAAAATAGTTTATAAGGAATAATAACTTCTATATTTCATTATCTATTTGTAAAGAGATAAAAAAAATTGTAAAAAAGGTAAACATTAAGTCAACAGCATTTGCAAAGTTTATTATGTGAAGTTTGCGTTTGAGTTTCATGATTATTATAAACCAATAATATTTTAGTATAACCAAAAAATTTCTTTCAGTTCAATAAATTTGCTGTTCTATTAAAAAAAAAATTTTTTTGGTGCTTATGTCTCATCATTCTCTTGATTTAAATTAATCTCTCATCTAATTGTTAACAACTACAAACAAATGTCTTTTTTTAACTTGTTGATATTATGCATAATTCTATATATTGATATTATGCATAATTCTATATATTGATATTATGCATAATTCTATATATTGATATTATGCATAATTCTATATATTGATATTATGCATAATTCTATATATTGATATTATGCATAATTCTATATATTGATATTATGCATAATTCTATATATTGATATTATGCATAATTCTATATATTGATATTATGCATAATTCTATATATTGATATTATGCATAATTCTATATATTGATATTATGCATAATTCTATATATTGATATTATGCATAATTCTATATATTGATATTATGCATAATTCTATATATTGATATTATGCATAATTCTATATATTGATATTATGCATAATTCTATATATTGATATTATGCATAATTCTATATATTGATATTATGCATAATTCTATATATTGATATCAGATCTTCTCTTTTATATCAGATCTTATCTCTTTTCTTTTTTCTTATAGTTAACTTTTCTTATAGTAGGATCTCCTTGATATTGAGCACGATATCTAACTAGCCATAGCTAGTTAGATTTAATGCTTTAAGTCTTCTTTTGTAGGAAAGATTTTTAATTAATGATACCAGTATAGTAGCTTTTTTAGTAACTTTTATAATTGTCACAATCAGACTAAACTGGAAATATAAACTCAAAGTAAAAACAAACAAAACTTTTTTTATGTGACCAAGCACTTGATTTGCTTTGTTAAAAGCAGTAATAACTTCATTTTTCCACTTTAAATTTGTACTAAAAAACAATCCAAGATCTCTTTCTGTATCAGACTGTGTTAACTGTATATTGTTTATATGTTCTTATTGTTATGGCCATAATGTATGACTTCACATTTTGATATGTTAAATAACAAAAGCCAAGTTTAAGACAATTTGAAGGCATTATTTAAATCAGTTTGAAGTAGCGCATAGTTTTGAGTATAATTGTGATAGAATTTTTGTATTATCAGTATACAGTTTGGTGACATTTTTTGAATATCATCGATGTACAAAGCAAGTAAAAATGCTACAATTTCAGAACCTTTTGATAAAAATCACAATAAAAAATATGTTTTTTTTAAAATATTATGTTTATGTTGATATTTAATTAATTACACACTTAGCAACAAATAACTTCTTACTTAGCAACATAGCAACAAATAACTTCTTACCTATCATTAATAGTGTCCAACATATACGATCCCATTCCTGATCCTGTTCCACCAGCAATCGAATGGCAAAGTACAAAACCCTAAGAATTAAAAAACATAACAAAAAAAGCAATAAAAAAAATTATGCTTCAATCATGATGCTTCCAAATGTTCAAAAAAAAAAATTTTAACTATATTTTATTGCACAAAAATTATTTAACAAAAGATAAAAAACAAGTTTTCTTAATAAAATATATAAACATTGTAAATGTATTTTCTTAAGGAATATAAATATCATTAAAAAAATTATAAACAAATACTTGCATTCATAATTTGCAAAATATTATTAATGATAAGTGTTTACTATTTTTAAAATCTATTAATAAATTATTTTAAGGATCAAAATAATGTTTAAAACTCCTAGGATAATCAAGTCTTAGAAAGCTAGCCATAAAAGAAACTCAGAAAAAAAAAAAAAATCAAATCTCACTATGAGCTATTAAGAAAGCCAGGTTTAAAAGTCTTTAAAATGACGAAATCAACCATTATTGGCTTTATAAGGAAAAATTATCAGAGAAAAAGACATAGAGTGATAAATATGACTGATTTCAAATAGTCTGTTTATACAGTTTATTTGAAAATAATAATGTTCAAAATCATTATCAAATAAAAAACCATCTATAGCAAATAAAAGAAGCTTTTTTGAGTATAATCAAGAGTTTATTGTCTGCCCGGATATAATTAGTTCAAATTGTAGAAGAAATATAATTTTGCTGAAGAAGGGATAAAGTACTTATCTTTCAAACAGGATGAGTTAAGTTTCTCAAGTATATAACTCATAGTTTATTCAAGTTAAGTAGTAAATAGATAAATAAAAAATATAAATTTTTTTATGAAGTGTATGCTTTGAAATTAGGTTGACAGGCCAAAAATTAGAAGCATTACTGAATGTGATACTGTTCAATCATCTTATGTTAAAACACAAGCTTTAAAATTTTTCAAGAAAAATATGCAATTGCTGATTTTCTCTTCTTGCAAGAAAAAAATTACTTGATTAGTAAATTAAAATTTGCTAAATATTCTTTTACAAATTTCAATAAAAAAACTTAAATTATCATACAATTTTAATAAGTGCATATTAATTTAAAAGAGTTAATTTTATTTTTCAGGATGTGATAATGATTATTGTTCTCAGTCAGTTTTTACCTTAATACATCCGAAAAACTTGATCCCACATTATGTGAGCAAATTGCTTTAGGCATAATTAAAAACAAAAAGCACCAAGAAGGCATTAAAAGAGGCCAGCTCTTTAAAATAGGTATATAAGTTTTTATTGTCATTTTATATGTTCATACAGATTTTAAAGGCACAGTAATATAATTAAGCAATAATTTTGATTGCTTTTTTAAATATTTGAATTGTAAATTTTAAGCAAGAGATAAGTAAAATATTTATAAACTATTTATTTCTAAGATGGGAATTAACTTTAACTGTTAAAACTAAATACAATAATTCTTCTTTCATTTTTTAATTAGATGTCATTCTAAACAGTGCTGAAATTAACTTCTGTACTAGAATTAACAAAAAATCAAACAAAAAAATGATATCAAGTCTATGTAAGAATCTTGGATCATCTATTTGAGATTATCATTATTGAGAACAATGTAGATAACATAATGATATCATTACAACAAGAAATTTAATCTAAATATAAAATAGAACAAGATGTAACAAGAGATATAAGAATTATTCATAACACTTCTGAATATATTCCTAATATTGAAATGGAAAGAGGCTTGAATCCTCACTTCAGTATGGTACATATATTTATTGATGGAGGTCAAGGATTTCTGAAAGTAATTGTTAATGTTTTTGATAAGATCAATAAAAATAAAATACACATTGATATTGGTGTTAAGAAGTGTTTAATTGTTGCTAATATTGAAGATGTTTTTGAAGACATTTTGAAGAATTCTGCAGAAAATCTTGAGTAGATTAGCCTAGATGATGTTGTCTATCACCTTATATTTGATTTAAAATGTGCTATCAGCATCTTGGGTTTATCATCTCATTCTGGTAAATATGTTAGCTTGTGGTGTGAAGGTGAATGTTCCCTAGAAAGTGATATTAGAAAAGAAGTGGTATTAGACAAGAAGTGTCTAATTTACTTTAAA